TTCGTTCTGTAAATTTCCTAAAAAGGAAATTTTTAAGAAATCTGTTGTGTACGGGAAAGAGTTTTTTTTTTTTTGATAACTTAAAATAGTTATATAAGATATTTATATATATTTATTTAACAATTTAATAGTCAAAGTTCTTATATAAAGTCTTGAATTATTATATAAATATTAATAAATTGTTTTCAATATATATATAGAATCTTTTTAAGCTGATTATTATCAGATTTTCTTGAATTATTTTTATTAGAATTTAATTTTTAAGATTATAATAAATAGTTGTTATAATTATACCAGTATTAGAATATGGTTTATTTGCAGAAGTAGTTTAATTCTTTTATAAATATAATATAGTCTTATAGGAATAAGTTTATAAAAAGAAAAACAAAATAAAAAATTTAATGATATATATATTTGTTAAAATATATTGTTTTTATATTTAAAATTTCACATGAATTGTTTTTGTTTTAAAAAGTTATTTATATTTATATCATATAAATAAGATTTCAAAAAGTTTTGCTATAAACTGTATATAGTATAATAACTGCATAATTAATTAACATATAATATAAGCTTTCTAGTATATATAATATAACAAAAAAATTTAAAACTTTTATTTCTTAAGCATTTTTAAAAACATTATGTTATATTAGTAAGTTTTTTTGTTATCAAATTTTAATGTTCAATTTATTTACCATACTTTTAGTAATATGCTTACAGTATTAAAATATTAAAATTATTAAATTTCAACTATATTACTAGAAATGAAATTCTATTTTTTAATTGTAAATTGTTTCAACTTATTAAAATTTTTTTAAAATCAGTTTTTTCATGTTTTATTAAATTATTATTTATAAGTTTTCTATAAAATTAAAGTTAAATTGCACAATGGCTAATAGATAACTTTTAGAATACTTTTGACAAGAAATTTTTTTGTTAAGTTGCTTGTATACTTGAAATTATTGTCTTACTAAAAGTATCAATAATTTCAAAACATTTCTTTGATATTTTCAAGTTTATTTGACAAAATTTCAACACAATAAAGATTATTTATTATGTATTAAAAGCAAAATAAACTTTTTTTTTTTTTGTTAAAAATCCATCCAAACAAATATTAATTTTATGTTTTTTGATATAGAAGAAACTGGGTGCCTACTCTTGTACCAATGCTTCAACATATTATGAATCAACTGGAAGATTGCTTCATTACTAAACAACGTATTTTTCCAATTATCCTTTAGATGATGTTTTTCCCATTCAATTCATTTTTTCGTGTAGGAAAGAACATTCAAATGTTTCTAGTTTTGTTGTCAGGATTTACAGAGATACAGTATAATTTCTGACAGATTGTCTTGGATAAGTTCTTACTTATTTTTTTTGCACGACCATCTTCACCCTTATTATCCATTGTTCCAGTTTTCTGAATTTTTTTAATGTTGTAATGTATTGTTGAAATGGGGAGCTTGATAAGTCTGCATAGTTCTGGCACGAAACGCACGCCCTTGTTCTGAAATAAAGTAACTTTTGCTTCCTTTCTTCGTTCACTATTTCATTTGTCACATCTTAGATTGTGCAAGGTCCGGTAAGTAAAGTGGCCCCACGAACATGGTTTTTTAAAGTTCTGCATGAGTGACTTTAATCACATGAAATGACAAGTTTTCTTGTCACACACTGTATACAGTATTAGAGATGTCAAGTAAACCCGTACAATAGTAGTAATACCAATGACGAATTCCAAATGGTCATATGTCGGAATTCAAATACTGTATAGAAATATACAGTAATTAGCGCTACGCTACGTATCATTATTACAGATCAAATCGAGTTTGAGTTACGCAAATCAGTAGAAATCCTTTTTGGACATCCCTAATACAGTATACGATCAGCGTGTTGCATCGTAGCTTTTAAAAAGATGCCACCAAAAAAAAGAAAGTCTAAGCAAAAAGCTAAAGGTAAAGATGACGTTCTTCAAGTATTGTTTGGAAGAAACATTTTTATTAATAAAAAATATTCTTTGCAACAGATGTTCCACCTACTGTTGCCAGCACATCTGGCACATCTGGTGCATCAACGCAAGATAGGGATATTGAAGCACTCGAAAGTGCCCCACTGCGGACGGAGTTATCTGGTGGTAAGTAAACTTATTATAAGCACCTTTTTTTGTAGGTGTAATAATTTTTTGGTCTGCGTTAATAGATTTCGAGAATTTTCGCTTAAGCTCGCCTATCAAAATTTGGGTCAAATGCGATGACAACCAACCAGCAAAAATTATTTTTAATGGAGAGGATGTGCATGACTTAAAAGAATCGATTAAGAAGGGTTTATCACCTAGTTTAGACAATGTAAGTATTGACCACATTACTTTAAGAAGACATGGCGAAGAAGCAGACTTACGTCCTGGGCTACTAGTGGATGCAAGTTTTGAAAACGACGATGGGACACCCCTACAAATTATTGTAAATACACCTGGTATATGTTCACGTTTATTGAATAAAAGTGTTTATTAACAAGTTAATATGAGATATGTTTTGACATTTACTAATTACAGCTTATATTAGTGACATTAAAACGTAAACGTGAAGAATCACCGGAGATTTTAACTGAAATCGTAAAGACTGTACGAGAAGAAATTGCCCGGCTAAGGCCTGCTAGTCAGATCCCAGTTTCTAATCTTTCTGAAACAAGGATGAATGAAATCATATATAGCATTGGATTGAAGATCGTCGAAGTAATAACTTCTTTAATGATTTCTTTATCACTTATCATCAATCATTATTTATCACTTATTTATTATTTAGTTAACAGATAGAGAATTTCAATCGATTGGTCCCGTGCCATTCCAACCGTTTATATGGAATCCAGAGAGGGAGGAATCTCAGCAGATGCGTAATGTAGAGACATGGTTTAGGGATACGCTAAATCTACCGATAGAGTTTCATGTAAAGGATATCCATACGCAAAAAAATTATCAACGATCCTTCCAAGAAGTGAACGTCGTTTTAACAGGTGGCTCTGATATATCTATTGGACCAAGTGGGACACCTTGCGTCTGGATCGAAGTTAAGAAAACGAAAGAGAATTTTAATGAAGGTCAAGCTAAAGGACAGTTATTCTTGCTAGATAAATATTACATTACAAATTCAATGGTTGTCATGACGGATTGTAATGACCATTGGATTATTTTTTTCTTCATAAAAGAGGATAATGAACAATACTTGGCAATATGTAGAATTAATAGCTCTGGCGTTGCCCTGGCAATAATTAGACAGTTTGTACTAGAAGAAGGAAAAAAGATTTGTGATTTGTCAGGAATGACCTTCGACTACAATGTAAATCTACCTCCACTTCTTCAGAAAAAAACGAAATTTACCGAACACATAACCGAACAGATTCCTAGAGCAGATTATGAAAACAGGATGGCTGACTTGGTTGACAATATGACTGAGCAGGAATTATTTAATATGGCGGTTCGCAAGAGGTTAATTATGTTAAGAGATTGTTGCAAATTAGACGAACAACCACAAGTGGATCAACTTATTAGACAGTTCAGTGATGATTATGAAAATCCATCACTGATGATGTACTCATAGTGAGAATATTTGTTATAAGCATTAACATTTGGTGACGTGTTTTTGTCACATCTTTATGATTTATGTTAAGTTTTACTTAATGCTAATGAAAAAGGTAAATTAGTTATACTAGACCCCGCGTGATTTTCGTGTGGAGTAATCCGTTGATCATATTTTATTTTCATTACTAATCACATACCGTAGTTAATAAAAGACGAATATACGGATTGATATTCACAATTATGTGTTAATTGTATATTTTTTCCATAATTATGACATTGTGAAATTCAGAATTCGATTCTTAGACCGCATGTATTATGACAACATATAAAAACAAATGAGCTTCACATTCGTTCGCTTTATATAAATGATATAAGAAAAAATAAATAAATCAAATAAATCTAATCAAAAGTACATTTACCCCATTAATCCAAACCGTTAAATAAAATACAGCAGTTCCAAAAAGAATGAAACACTTGTACTTCGATCTTTAACCGCGTTCTAAACCAATCAAAAATCAGATAATGATCAAATTAACAGTGTATACGGTGTACAGTAAATCTCATTAATATATACATTTGACTAGTAATTAAAAAATCTTTTATAATCAAAATTAATAAAAATATAAATTGCTATTTTTTTAAAAAAAAATTTCGCCTGTATTTACAAATTAACCAATGTTCCAAAAATAACTATTTATAGAACAAAGAGCAAAGGACATTATTTACAGTATATATTCATCTATACAAATTTAACAATGATTAATTAATGCACCAGTATGTCAAATCAGGTCTTTTGAAAAATGAAATGACTTCTACGCGTTAAAATAAAAAATCCACATTTTTATTCAGCTCAAAGGCCTTGTTTTTTGCTCTTCTATTGGTCGCCGGAATCCATATAATGACCAGGTCACATATGAACATAGAAAATTCATTAAATTTATATACTGGAGTCTGTTGCAACGAATCTATCTAAAGGGATTACAACTGTAATGAGTCTTAGTAGGCGTTACAAATCTCTCTTTTAAATATCAGCTGCAGCAGTCCAACTAAATGGCCTGGTCACATAGAGGTGTGGAAAGGGAAGCAAATATTGAAGGTTGGGAAATTTACTTCCTGTTTTCTTTGTATTCACGTCCCTGTTTTTCTTTGTTTTGTTTCATTAATATTAGAAAAGTCGTGCATATGCGTATTTATTATTTTGACATAATCACGTAAATTTACTAAGCGACTTCATTGGTTAATTGCGGTGTGGTTCTGCATAAATCGCGTACACTATACAATATAAAATCATTCTTTTCTTAATAAATTTCATAAATAATAATTTCTTTAAATTTTTATTATTTTAATACTATATGTTTGTGATTTATGTTTTTTTATTTCTCATGTGTTTTATTTGTGTAATTTTTTCTCACCAGACTCTTCATAATTTTCTCTACATTATTCTATTTTAGGTTTTGACCGTATTTATAAATCCTGACAATTAGTAAATTGTTACAAAATATCCAATGACCTAGTCACAACTCCCGTTTGTAATCAGCTATCTGAAAAATAGATAATATTGATAAGATTTCCCTACAATGCAAGTTGTGAAGAAATACTTCAAAATCGATTAAGAGCTAAAGAATTATTGCGACTATTTAATAAGGGAAGTTGGAACTGAGTAATGTTTGGCCCTAATGTACAATTGTATGCTGCCAAACATCCTGTGCAGCCAGAGGAGAGAGCTAATGGGAAAAAATTTGCATTTTCTATTAAGGTAGGGTATATTGTAAAGAAAAAATAAAAGGTTTTTTTAATTATTATGTTTGTATAGATCGGAAACGATGTTTGGATAGGAGGCGGTACAATTATTTGTCCTAGAATGGCTATTGGTAATGAGGTATGTTAATATCTCAATAATGTACAGTATTTTGATATGGTGATATCAAGCTTATTTACCACTGATGAATTGATGTAGGTTCGTAGTAAATATATATAACAATTTATTTGATTTATCAACATCATTTTTTTCAAAAGATAAAAAGTCAATTATTATTTATTTTTTTAATTAGTCAATATTTCAACCAAGTGTTTTTATGAACAATAGAATATTAAGGCTCAATACTCAATTTTTAATTTTATAAGTTTGATCTATAATACTTAATTGTTACCAAATTATTGAGAAAAAAATATTTAAGAACCTTAGAATTATTAAATTATTTGTTATTTAAAAACTATTACATAAAAATTAATCAAAAATATAGCTTAAAATCCAGTAATTATAAAATTAATTTCTTAAAATTTTAAATTTTTTAAAGATTTTTTTTTTTGTAGTATTAAAAATCAAATATAAAATTCTATAACTTTATAAATTAAATACAATAAATTTTAAAATAATCGTATAATAAATATAATATAAAATTTTAATAAACATAATTTTTTAAAAAATTTTATTGACTATTAAACTATTAATATTTTTAAAAAAAAATTTAAAAAGTTTTTGTAATATATTTTAATAACAAATTTAAATTTTTGTTTTTAAAGTAATAATGATTTTTTTTTGCATTTTATATATCAAACTAAAGTTCTTTTTGCATATGTTCTTATAACAACAATTTATTTATTTTCTTTTTTTTTATAATGTCTCTATATCTATTATTCATTGACAATATTAAATTTTTAATTTTTTATTTTTGATATTTTCTTTTATTCTTTTATTATAAGTTCCATATCTACTCAACCACCTAAATTAAACACATGATTGTTATTTTTCAACAGAGAAATCTAAGAAAAACTTTAACAACCCCATAATAATAAACAATATAAACCCTTCAAGAAGAAACAAAACTACTAGCCAATCAATTACTTTTAATTCCCAATAATATCACCATACTTATTAATTTAATTACTAAAATTAGAAAACTATTTAAAGATTTATTATATTTCTTTTAATTAATCTTTAACAAACTAAAATTCAAAAATTATATTTTCTTTAATTTTTTTATTACTAAAGATAATATTAAACCAACTTATAAATAAAATTAAAAATAACTATCAAGAAAAATATAAAAAAAAATTACAATCTCAACTTTGTAAACTTTGAAACAAAAAAGAAAATCCAAGTAATTATTTACATTATTTTATTAATAATTTATTTAAAAACTATCAATATTAACAATATTACTTTCTATAAACCTGTTAATTCTCTTATATATCTTATAAACTATTTTATTAAAAAACTATAATCTCATGTTAATTATATTAAAATTAAAAAAAAATTCAAAAAGTATATAAACTTTTTTTTTTAAAGTAGATAAACACCAATTCTTTATTTATTCGTATTGTCGTGGTGAAATCATGGCGAGTCAGTCACTTTAATCTGTCTCACACTGTGTAACGATCGGGCGGTTTCTACTCAAAAGAGGCATGTGAATTTGGCCAGAGTTCGTAACGCTGACGCAGATCAGTCCATCAATCTTGCGTCCTCAATGGTTACTTCACGCGCAGCAATTTTGTTAGCTACGTGATGCTGGGGTCAATCACAAGGCAATAGTTTATCAAATAAAAATGGTTTTTATTTAACAGTTGCGCAGTACCTATTCTGGTTTCTCCTACTTTTTGACCATTCTCAGGTTACTTATATACATTTTTACTTTATACCTATTATACCTATTATACCTAATATACCACTTATGCCTGATATACCATTTATACCTGATATACTTACCCTTATAATTTCTTATCATCTACCTATCATTTTTCCCTACAACAGTATATTACAAGGTATACATTACAAAAGAATCAACATCTCTTGGGTGTGAAGCATACAGCAAGTTTAATGCTAGCTTACCTACTAAAACTATAAATAGCTAATACTGAAAAAGACATTTTAAAACAATATTGTTGCTAAATATAGGCCAAGTAGTAGCTATGCTTATCTACTTAGAAAAAAAATTGTTTTTAAGATGTAAAAAGAATTTGATAGGAAAAAAATTTGAGAAAAAAAAAATAAAAGTAATTAAAACTAAAACAAAATCAAATAAACTATAAAATCTATGAGAAAAAAAATTGTATTTCCAAGAGAACCTTTGGCCAGACTCATTGTCCTGTCTCTCCAGTTCTTTACGACTTGTAAATATAATCTTCATTAACATGAATAATGAAGTATATAAGATTTGACTTGTCGTTGTAGTTATTGTTGTTATTGTGTTGATATGATAAGTGGTTGGTAAGATGATTGGTCCATGAGTTGGTGATGTGATTTTTTTTTGGTTGTGGTTACCAAAACTGGTTTTGCTTATGTTGATTATTATGAGGTGTTTTGGTTGTATGAGTTTGTTTTGATATTTGGTAGTATTTGATTGGTTGGTTTTGAGATAATGGTCTGTTGACAGGAGTAAACTGATTACAGTTTTTTGGTGAGGAATTTTTTGAGTGGACTTTTTTGAATTTTTGTGGCACAGCATGTTGTGCTGAGCGATAGTGAGGAGTGAGTATTGTATGTACTGCTGATGCCCCAAACCAATAATATAAACAATATCGGTGTAAGATTTGGTTTTTTGAAAAAAAGAATAGCTCTCCAAGAACAGAAAAAGGATATTTAATAAAAATTGTTTTTTGATAAGAAGTATAAATAGGAGAAACCCCAAGGAAAATTTGTAGAAAGATAACTGCCACAGGCCTTCCCTCATGTAATCCAAAAAAATAACAAGGTCCTCAAGCTTGCTTTTTTTTGGCCAGAGATTTCATCCCGATGCACCAGTATACTTTCCTAGGTTCCTTAAGATTCCTATAGTGAAGGCAATAGAAGTGTGGAGGACTTTTGGGTAGTTAAAGGCGAAGATAAAAAAAACTATTTCTTTAATTTTGAAAAAATTACTATAAAAGGAAATTTTTAAGAAAAATGTTGTGTACGGAAAAGAGTTTTTTTTAAAAAGTATATAAACATTATTCTTTTAAAACTTCAATTATTTTTAATTAAAATTTCATTTCAAATCAAAATTAAATTGCTATATAATTTATATATTGTTACACTTGATTTTTACCCAAGATTTTTATTATTTCTTGTCTAATTTTTATTAATATTTACTCTTGAAATATTATTTGTTCTAAAATAGTCTTGTATTATAGATCTGTTACTGCACCTTCAAAATCTATTATACTTATTGTATCTTTGCTATTTCTGAAATATTTTTATTTTATTTTACTTTTACTTCTATGTTATCTTTATCAAAGTATTTATCTATATGAATATTATCACATTTTAATATTCTAATAAAAATAGTATCTATATTTTAGTTTAAATTTTTATATAGTATAAATTTATTGTATACAAAAATATTATAATTCAAACATATATATAAAGTCTTTAATTTTATTTAGATATTGGCAAGCTTAAACTTTTATCAAATAAATATTTGAACCTTTATTAAAACAAATTACTATTGCCTTTTTTGCTTGACTTTATAAACCTCAGAACTGTACTAATTTGGTATACCTTAGGAACTTTAGCATATCAGCTTGATTTTTCAAACAAAATATCTTCCTGCTATTAATTTTCTATCTTTATTTTTCTCTTGAGAAAGAAATAATATATGACAATATATAAGATAAATTTCAACTTATCCCAATACTATATATACTTAAATCTTATTATAAATTCTAAAAACTTCTAGAAAACTATTTCAAAATTAACTTACCACTTTAATAATCTCTTGTTAAGATATAAAGAAATTTTTTAATAATAAACTAAACAAACTTTCTAACTATAAAAACTATTTATATAAAGAATATCAAACTTTTTTCAAACTTTTTAATTCTTCTTTAAACTATCACTATCAAAAAAATATTTTCCTCAATATATTATTTACTCAAAATCAAATACTTAAACTTTTTTTTCTTCAATCCTAAAAACAATAAAATAATTATTCAAAAATTAGCTATATTTTTTTATAAAAAATATACTATTTCAAACATTTCTTAAACAATTTTTTTTATTAGAAAAAACTTCTCTTATTTCTAGGCAAAGCTTAACTTAGAAATAAATATTTTCTTTTTTATAATAGATTCTACTAATATCCTATTCCTTTTTAATTCTTTCTTAAAAAATATTTTTCTAACATTTTTTTTAAAATATTAAATTAATATCTCAAAACTAAAAATACAAATAGCTAAATACTTTAACTAAAATATTTCTTTTAGAAAACTTTAATATAATTAATAAAAAACTAAATATTAATATTTTAATTACAAATAAAAAACTTCTTAGAAAAAATATTATCAAAACATATCAATTTTTTTAATATTTAATGTTCTAAACAAACAAATAAATTCAAATTTAATGAAAAATTTTTATTCCAAGTTCATCTGAATTAAAAAAAAATCTGATTTAAATTAATATTAAAATAAATAACTTTATAATTAATGATATAAACTTTATTTCTAAAATCCAAAAATTCAAAAAATATTTTGTCTTTTAAATCTGACTAACAAATATATTATTCGTGTTAAACTCCCTAAATTATTTGCAAATTTTTTAACTTTTTTAAATAATAATAAGTACAAATATTCTTTTAAAAATTTTCTAATTAAAAAAACCTTAAAAAATTATACTTAAAATTATTATTAATATAAAATATTAATTTTTTGAAATAAGCTTCCTTAATATAAGAAAACTCAATAATCCAATAAAGCTTAACTGTCTTTTATAATATTGTTATCAGTACATAGTAAGTCTGTTATTAATCTAAACTAGATAGTCACATAACTATAAGTAAATAGGAATTTGTGTTACCTGCACATCAAAGACACTTATTAATAAACTTCTTTCTTTCCAAATGCCAATCTAATTCTATATCACAATCCATTGTGATTTCTCAAGATTCTATACATGGCAAACAATTATTAAGGCAAGTTTATTAATTATATTGTTACAATTGCAAGTAATACAAGTTTATACAATATTGAAACTTATTTCATATTTTAACTAACTAAATTCTCCCATATTTATATCCATTGCAACACATATGCTAATCTATCGTTACATCCTGCAAATTTCTATTTAACTATTTAAGCTTCTTGATATAGAGTCTAATGGATCATACCATCTCATATTATTAATGGTAATTCTAATAACTTATACATTTTCTCTGCTAACAATATATAAATAATAACAATAATAATATTTTTGATCTTTCAAAAACAAAACTTCAAATAAAAAAATTTCTATATAATTGATAATTTTATTATATATTTAAGCAATCTAAAGTCAAGCAAAGGTTTAATAATAATAAATAAAAATCTCTTAAACTATTTTTTTAAAATTTATGAACTTCAAAAATATATTATTTTAATATATCTTAATTTAAGTCCAAAATAAAAATATATATTATATAATCCCTGATGATGATCACAAGCCTATCTCACATGCTTGGCAACTAGTAGAGCTGGCATATGGCATTATGGACAACATCTTCTTCACAACTAATTTTTCCAATTGGATTGAAACTTCAACTGAGACTTTAGCTCTTCTATACAAGTCAATTTGGACACTTCACTGTGACACAGCAAACATCTCTCCTCTCACTGGTATCAAATAGGACAACAACCTTTATAATGACATAACAAATCAAACCACTAAAAACCCAACCAAAACTAAATTACCCAATAACAACTCCACATCAACATCAACTATTATAGACATACCCATTATCGTAGTTGACTCATATATCCAAAGTGGATTCAACTTCACTAAATGCATCTCTAAACTAATTTCAGATCTTTCTAATATCTTTTTATCCAATGCTGAGTAGATAATAATAGCTGCTCAGAGTTGCTTGACAAGATATATTGTTTTAAAAATTTCTTTTCAATATTAGTCTAGTGGTTACTGTAGGCAAGCTAGCATTTAACTCATTGTACTAATATACATGAGTAATGTTGTTTCTTTTGCAATGTATATCTATTATTATACAAATAAATAAAAAAATGATGTTTATCTACAAAATATATATATATATTGTAAGGGGTAAAATAGAAAGATATAAAAATAAAATAATTGTATAATTTGGGTAATATCACGATAATATAGTTATAGAAGATATATTTAGCACAATGGGAGTATAAGGAATTGTACATGTCATGTAATGAACAATGATACTATATTATTATGTGATCAATTTATGCTAGATAAGTGCAAGAATTGATCTTGCCACAACCAAGTTAATATAATGACTGTGAGTGATAACAATGACCTTATAGGGATCTTTATGTAATAATTATGTAATCATGTCATTCTATAACTGGTATGTTTAAATTGTGTAGTAAAGAGTATAAATAAGTGAGAAAAAAATGTCTTTAATAAAGATGTATGCGAACAGTGTGAAGAATTTGACCAAATCGTGCACCTCAAATTACTATTTTTTATAATAAACTATCAGTAACAGTTCTATAAATCTCTGTTGGCATTAGTGACAGACTTGCCGTTTGCCCGTTACAATATATATATATATATATTATATGATGTTATTGTCACAAGTGAGTCAGTCACTAAAATGGTTTACTTTTCATGTAACAATAATCTGAATGCTTGAATTTTGGCACTAAATAAAATAAGGCTTTAACTTCAAAGTAGATTATGATTTGACTGACTTTCGTGCACTGGTTAAATCTCTTCTTGATCATTCTTTCTTAGACGTGTCTCAAAATTACAAGTATCACTCTTTTACAATGCAAAATAGTAATATTATATCTCTTTTTCTTAAAAATTACTTTACTATAGTGGCATAGACTTAGTTTATATTTTAAGAAATATGTAATATAATTGTGCAAAGTTGTAGTATTTATTAAATAAAGTGAGAGAATATAAAGAGTATTCTAAAACTCTCAACTCAAAATTTCAAGATAAATTTTAATTAAAATGCTAACTGTTCTTTTTCAAACTACCTAAAACTATTCTATTTATATGCCTTATGAACATGTCCATCTTATTACATGCTATTTTTAACTATTATATTATTCTATTATTTATGTTACTATTATTACATAACACATTACAATATTATGTTACCATTCCTATTGTTTCCATAACAACAAGTATATAAAGTATATCTATTATATATTACAAATATAATAAAAGAAATCATCTTTTATTTCAAACACTTATTTACAACAATCTTTAAAAATATCTTATATATTATTATAAATAACTTTAATTATATACTCAAGTCAATTGAAAGAATATAAAAAACAAAATTAAAATACAAAACCAAACAAAAATTATATTAATATACTGTAATAAATTCTATGTATATTATTATTTATACTTGAATTATTGTTAAATACTTATTAAATATCTTTTATAGTCTATTTACTACTTAACAACATAGTAAAATATTTATTTCTTATATATGATTATATGGCAAAATTAGATTTTACTTGTAACAATATTTATAGCCAATGAATATTATTATTTTTTTTTTTGCAAATGGCATTAAATGAAATATTAATTAGTTATTCGGCAGGTACTGCCGAATAACTGTGATATTGGGCATAGCGGTTGAAAATAGTCTAAATTTAAAATTCCGAAGGAATTTAATAAATTAGACTAATTTTAACCCTTGCGCAATATCATTAGGCACTTTAGTGCCGTCAGTTATTCGGCTGATTACCTGTCTAGTAACTGATTTATCAGGTGATTAACGTTGATTTCCTTACACTGCCGAATATCAGTTTTATTCGGCAGGGAAATCATAAGTAAATGCCCGATAATTATAGTTATTACATTAGCAATCTTTTACATGAATAGTAAATAATTGTAGCCTATTGCGATTTCTATTTACCAGTGTACCTACTTAACACTTTGTAAGTATATCCATATTCTGGTTTATGCTTATATAAAGATTCGATCTTAATTAACATATTAATCTTTCATCAGGTTCCTTATCATATTTACATCTTTGACTTATGCAGCCACAATACCTCTATAGACTTACTTCTTTATACATAGCCAATAAATATTATATAAGGAAAGTAATAATAAAAGTATTAAAGAAAAATTAATTTAGTATATTATATAAATTGATGAAAAGAATACTACTTCTATTGTATTCTAACACTTGTACAACTAATATATAGGGTGACACAAAATTTTTTACAATTTTTTTAATATATTTAACTTAAATATAAACTTATTTAAATTAAATAAAATTTAAATATGAATATTAATTAGCAATAGCTAGTAGACCATTCATTCATGTATATATAATTGTGATCGTAACTGAAACATCAATAAAATCCATGTGTGTATCACAACTTAGCCTTAAAAAATATATATATATATGAATATTAGTATTTTTTTAAATAATTATTTTTAATTAAAAATTTTATATTATATATTAATTTTATAACTTGATTTTCATAAAATTTAAGTTTTTATATAAGTTTTTATAAGTTTTTTTCGTAATAAATAATATAAAAATAATATATTTTATGAAATAAAACATTAAAAAATAAAAATATAATATTTAAATAATATCATTAATTAATATAAAAAATATTTTAATTAAGATTGTTTATTAATACTAAAAAGATTTTATATTAATATTTATTAAATAATGATATATTTTTTTATTTTTTAAAAAAATTTTATGCCACCCTGTATTTGAATAAAGACTTGTATGGTCTTTTGTATATTCAAAAACATTTTATAAACATATTTTTTAAACAATTGTAGGTATTATAATCTATAATGATTTTTTAAAAGAAAGGTTACACAAATTTTGGTTTTACTTTAAGTTATCTTTAGTATAAGATTTTAAAAAGACAATTAAATATTTGTTTTTTCAAATTTAATAGTGAAAAGATAGACAAATAAAATCTTTTTACTTAAACAGTATTATATATCTTTTTTTTCTACAAAATTATATATACTGTATATATGTATATTCAAGACCTATTGGCCAAAATTATATTGATTAAATTTGAATATCAAATAATATTGCTTTTTAATTTATCAAAGTACAAATAATAAATGCTAAATTAGAAATTTATAATAATTACAAAATCATTACACTTACACTTTTTAATTTATCAAAGTACAAATAATAAATACTAAATCAGAATTTTATAGTAATTACAAATTTATTTATTTTTGAAGAAGGTTTTCCCCATAGGTAAACATTATTTCTTTATTTGATATTGTATATAACAGAATATATATTGTGAAAGAAACAACATTCCTTATGTATTGTTATCCTCAACGGCAAGTCTATCGCTACTCCGGGTCAAGACTTATATCACGTTGGGGGAAAGGTCTATGTTGCTGGCAATACCAAAGGTACGTGTGGTGATAATTATCCTAATCTTCCTCTAGGTTTAATTAGTCTCCTCTTCTGATCTCTCCCCTGTCAAGCTATAGGGCAGCGGATCCTTTCTAGGACGACTAAATGACAAATAAAGTAAGTTTATTAATTATCGTTGCACTGGTACAAGCAATTAGGTTTCACAAAGTCGGTATTTTATTAATTTTTTTCGTCTCTCTTTCTATTCTGAGTACATTGACTATTTATACTATTGCGACAAAGAAGTTGAATTCATTAAAACACTATGAGAATGCGATCAAATCTTTCAAAAAAGCCATTAATCTAATAATGGCAAATAGAAAGCCTAACAAACTTCATCCGGTCGCAGCTAATGCACACAAAGCCTTATTTAACAAACTACCATCTCTCGTCTCCCTCAAGAAAACCTTCAAAATTCTTCTAAAAAAAAAGTTACAAAGGCCAATAAGATCATTCTAGACGAAATTCAAAAGAATGTTCAAGAAAATTACACTATATTCTGGTCCAAGCCCAAAAATGCACTCAAGAAGGTCCTTGGAAACCTCAAGCCAGCTTTAGACCTTTCAATCCTCTCTGACGAAGACCAACTTCAAGATGACCCACACAAACTCGTAGAGATCATTACTAATCACTTTAAAACCACTCTAGCAGCAAGTTAATTTGTCTTAAGCGATGAATGGCAACGAGAGTACTTGCCTAAAAAAGACCTCTCAAATAAAGTATTTGAAAGTATCCACAAAGAAATTACAGCAGAAGAAATCAATCAAGCACTTATAGAACTTTCGAACCAGAAAGCTCCAGGATTAACACATATACTATATGAAGCCTGGATTAATATTGAACCAATAGCAAAACAAAAACTCAAAAACCTCTTTAATAAAGCACTATCGAATAATCAAATCTCAAAATTTTGAAAACAGTCGGCAATTACTTTATTACCCAAAAAGATCATCTGGTCACATGAACTGGCTGACACACATCCTATTTCTTTTTTAGAAACAAGTAAAAAGATATTCACAAAGATACTAAATAACAGACTATTGACTATTATTTCAAAGCATATCCTATCAGGATACAATTTTGCCAAGCTAAAAAACCAAAGCACAATGGAACCAATCTCAATTGCCCTTTCAGAAATTGAAACAGTAAACAACCTCAATAAAGAGATCTGGGTGACATTATTCGACATATCCAAAGCATTTGACTCAGTAAACCTTTCCAGTCTGGAACTAGCAATGAAAAGAATAAAAATGCCAAATCAAACCATCCAGTTAATTCTCGATTTACTTAAAAAAAGGGAATTCAAAATCATCACATATTACAAACTCGCAGATCCACTTGAAGTTAACAAGGGAATCGACCAAGGAGAAACTCTCGCACCACTGTTATAAACTATCTTTTATGACTCAATGGTCTGCACAGTTATCAAAGACCCTACTAACAGATCAACTATCCTAGCATATATGAATAATGTTGCAATCATCAGCAAAAACATGTGTACCTTACAAAGTGCCACGAATACTTTCTATTTCTTTCTAACTTTTAACTTAATCAAGTGCAACAAAAGTAAAACAGAACTTATCACAAACTTGAAATCCAAAAATGACCAAAGGAACCAAGTTCTCACAGTTGAAGATACCCCAGTCTTATTCAAACTATACAACGAGTCAATTAGATACCTCAAAATCTACTTATCTGGAAAATCCTCATCTGTTGTAACAAAAAATTATCTTAAAGAAAAGATCTCAAACTTTTCTAAAGCAATTGCTAATCAAAAAGAATGGAATGGTCTAATCACAAGACAGGCCTCTCATTGGATAATATCAGCACAAATTGAGTACGTCACCCAAGTATCAATCCTCAACGATAATAACACAAAAGCTTTCCAGGCAAAATTCAATATGGCCATCAAAAGTAAACTTGAAGTAGAAAAGACAATCTCAAACAAAGTCCTGCATTCACAAGCTGGTGTTACGGTGAATTACGGCGAGTCTGTTGCTTCTGTTCGGTCCACGCCGTACTACGTTGGAGAATGGTTTCTCCTCAAAAGAGACGTGTTTATTTGGCTCGAGTTTAACAGTAACGCAGGTCGGTCTGTCGATCGTGCGTCGTAACTGCCAACCTCCTGCGTGGTCACTCCTTTGTTTAGTGACACTCTCAAGATAGATAG